TGTCTGTTTATAGAATTAAAGAGAAAGTATTATTACATAAAACGAAGTAATGTAAACAACTTACATTGAAAGAAATGTTTAATAAAGTAAGCAAATAAATATTAAGCTTTTTTTTTTTTTTTTTTTTTTTTTTTTTTTGGGTACCCTTTAGATCATAATTGTTCTTTATTTCATAAATTACGGTTTCACATTTTAATTTTAGAATTTCTGCATGCCATCTTACGAGATTTAAACTGATGATCTATAATCCGGAATCGCCGAAGTCCCGATGAGTCTGGATTAATGACTTTTGACTGTATTAAGCTTCTTTTTTTATTTTTTTTTTTTTTGTTGATAATCACGTAACAAGTTTAAATAATATAGGTGATATGCTACCCTTCATTGAAATGTCTTAAGTCATACTGCATGGAGGTAAATTCAATTTGAGATGTTCGCTGCACACCAGGAATAATAATCTTCAACCATATACTCCTCTATTAGGACTTTAGTGAGATAGAAGAAATGATATGCTGATGATCAGTTTGGATTGGTTTAAGAATTATAACTTTTTTGCTGCAATGGTGTGAGGCATCCTCTTGGTTATTAGAATCTTCACCTTACTGGCATATCACAGACAAATTTTTCATGGGTATTCTATATCTGTAGAAAAGAGGAAAACAAAAACTGCAGGACATTCTTCTATTTATTCTTAAAGCTGTTCAAATATTTGTAGCTGTGGAACTGATAGAAAGAAAAATACTGAATGCAGATATTATGGATCAAGATAGTAGTAGTATTATTATTTTTCAAGCTATGGCAATGATACGGTTGATTGCTTAGATAATAAGATTTATTTTTAATTGTCTAAAACAAGATCTTAACAAATTATTGGAGAGTTATCCTTTGAAGAAATATGAATAAAATGTTAAACCTGGAAATATAGTTCTTATTGGGAATAATTATATTACATGTACTGAATGGCCATCAGCCATTGTTACTGAATTACTACCTAGAAAAGATAAAACCATTAGACTGCTGTGATTGAAAACCACAAATGGACAACTGTCATACAGTCATACAGGACTGTCATACAGTTGGTTAGAACTAAAATATGATAGAAATCGAGTTGAAGTGTGTTCGTTGGAAAATAGTCAAATCTGTAAAAGCAAAGAGTGAACATGCAGTTAGTTCTATCCAGAGATTGGACTTGTAAACTGTATGACAACTTTCTCAACAACATAGGGTAGGAGAATGATGAATTTCAGATGATGTGTATTTTGTATTTTATACATACTTTCATTTATTTTATTTATTGTATGTTTTTCTGCCACTTGTTAGTGTAGTTTTAGGCCTGGTGGCGCAGTGGCCAGCACATCATGCAGCAGCACCACAGGTTCGGGGTTCGAACCTTGGGCTGAGCAAGGTCGACTCAGCCTTTCATCCCTTGATTTCCATCACTTGGGTCGATAAAATGAGTACCAAGTTCACTTGGGAAATAAACACTGGGTGTCCTGCGACAAGCTGACCACTTGTTCAGGGCATATGCTTAGCACCCCGGGGCCCACGGCCAAGAAAGCAGATTTTCGGGTACTGCAGGCCTTGGCCCATTAGGGCTGTTACGCCACTGAGTTTTAGAGTATTAGTGTAGTTTTATTCCTTGGAAGTGGCAACAAAAACAACTTTTATAGTGAGTTAAAAATATGTATGTTTAGCAGGCTTATTAAAAATATTGCTGTTTACAAGAGAGAGATATTTAAGATCTAGTCTATTTTCAATCATAAATGATACTTTAGAATATGTTCATTAGTCTCTAGAATCCATTATATGCTGGTAGCATAATCGTTTATTTTGAAGTGTAAGTGAATACCAGTTATTTGGTAAAATTTTGAAGTGCGGAATGTATGAAAAGTTAAAGCAGTGTAGCATTTGGTGAAACAGCAATTAGGGAATTAAAATATCTCCACTGTTGCCATTCCACTGTTGCCATTCTAAATATTTTATATCTAGATTTGAGTGCTTTTTTAATATTGTTTAGATGTTTTCCCCCAGAATTATAGTATGTAGGCTACTGAATTTAGATGAAACTTTATTTTTTCATCCTGATATTTTTTCACAAAATTTATAATAGCATAGAATCCAGATATTTTTATTATTTAATTTTTTAGGTATTTTGTTTCAGTTAGAATTCGTAACATTGGAACTTAACAGTGACCACGTCATTGTTGTGTGTATCCTCTCTGAGTTGCGTTCAAAATGCCAAAACAAAACTGTGTGTTTACTGATGAATTGAAAAAGGATTATCTATTTTAGGAAAAAGTTTTTTTTCGTACTGATAATGTGAACTGTGCTTTACAGAATTTTCAGTAGTTTATGTTTGGCATTCAGCATTATAAATCACTTGAAATGTGTGAAATTTAGTAACAGTGGCTGGAAATTTCTCCAATATATTATCATATTTTAAATGTATTGATTTAACTAATAAAGAATTGTTAATAGCAGCTAAAGAAGCAACTTTTGCATTTTATATTGTTATTCACAATTTTAGTTTCAAGTTACCTGATTGTTCATCTAGATTAATTTTGAAGCTCTTTAAAACAAAGTTTCATCAGCCATAACAAAATGTGAAGCTATCACTCTTAATGTGGTTGAGCCATTGTAGCGGCTTTACACAGATTTAAATAAAACAAACTTTATGATGGCATCAATAAAGTTGTCTATTGTTATTGGAGCAAAGAAGCTATCGCATTTTCCAGGTGTAGTTTCATTCCTAATTTTAAACATATTTAATGTAGAAGAATGAAAAACATTCACAATAGATTAAAAAAATGAACTAAGAAAAAAATATTCTTGGCATTGGTTGTGGCACTTGCATCATGCACAGCTGCCTTCAGTTAATATTCTATTTATTGAATTATAAGCTTTAATGGTCAAAATTTATGCATTTTTTTACATTTATATGGTTTGAGTCACTAAACTAGAAGATTTCTGTGAATTTGTATATGTAAAGTGTAAAAATTTTCTTCATCATAACAATACATTCACATGACAACAATATTTTCTTTCTTACTTCCAAATATTGACAGAATACTTGAAATATATGAAGGACTGAAATCTAATTTTATTTCACAAGAACACTGTCCAGTGATGATAAAACTTTTGGGGGGAGCAAGGGCAACTCAAATTATTTAAACAATGCTGGCTAGCTGTCTTGATTATGGAAAGTACGAAAGCAAGGGCAACTGATAATGTCTTTGAAATTAAAAACATACCTCAAGGAAAAACATGAGAATAAATTTATGCCTCAAGAAGCAAAAGGAAAAATGTTTTAAAATACTAAAAAATAATGAAGCAGTTAATATCAATACAATAATACAAGAGTTTACAGCTTTATCACAGATGTCTTTCTTACATCGAGCTATGGAAAAACAATTTTGGTGGATAAAAATATTTTATTGGGATAAACAACAGGGAAATAACTTGGTCTGAAACTGAAGTTTTAACTGGAAAATTAAATGAAACTGTCTCAAATAATACAATAAACATAGATAAATATTTTAATGAAGTAGCAATTTTCTGGAAAAGCTAATTATGAAATTTGGAAAAATAAAAATTGTGAATAAAAACAGGTAAATCTCTTCAGTCACTTAAAAAAAAATGTCATTGCCCAATCTTATTCAAATAATAGAATGCATTTTCAGCATGCCAGTCACACTGGCACCAGTCAAAAGGATACTCAATATCATAAGGTCAAACTGAATCAACCTTAATAGCTTAAATAAGCTTCGGAAAATTAACAGTGAAATATTCGATGCTATTAAAAGCAACAAAGGATCTTTAAAGAAAATTCGCATTAGAAATATGTACCAATAACTTCTTAATAATAAGGTATGTTCAGTCAGGTTATTAAAAATTTCTTTCAACTCGTAATTTTTTGTTAACTTTTTAATGTAACCTTTTCAATCATAGGTGCTTATCCTAACAAGTTTTTTTTTTTTTTTTCCCTCCCCTGCTCTGAATGTTTTCTTAAAATTTTCCTTGTTTGAGCAAAAAAATATTTTAACATTTCATTGTTTAATAATAGAGCTAATTAATTTAATTCTAAATTTGAAAGACACATATTTTTTAACTGCAGGGTTAACTGTGTTTTTTTTATTTATAATTTCATATGTAAAACATTTTAACAAAGAGTTTGATGGTGTTATTGTTGTGGCTTATCTAATCAAAACAAGTCCATAAATTTTATCATGGCAAGGAACGTAAGATTGTGTCTGTCATGGGCTTTAAGCATCAGATAGGTAACAGTACAACTTTGCCCAGCTTCATCCCAGTTCTGATGAAGAGTGTCTCTGGGGAAAGGTGTGAGGGTCTCCCATCTCTCTCTCTCTCTCTCTTTTTTTTTTTTTTTTTTTTTTTTTTTTTTTATACCATTAAACCTTTCAAGAGGACATTTGGTTAGCAATGCATTTTAAATATCCACATGCTACCCTGAACTGTATACTTGCAAACCTTCTCTAGAATTTGAACCTGAGCTCAATGAATGCCACAGCAGTCAGGAGCACTAGCCGATTTTTTCTTTTTTATGTATGTTTCATGTATGAGATCTTGCTTAAAAAAGAAAAATTTTGTTGAAATTCCATCATATTAATTGTCAAGTGTATACTGTTTGTTAAATTAATGAATGACTATCAATATTTTGTATGAGGTTGTGCTGAATTAAATATGAGAATAAAAGGTAATTTTTAACAAAAAAGCATTAATCAGTGCAATTTTTTTAACAGTAAAATAGATTTTAAACTTTTTTTACATGTATATTTTCTTTTGTTGTGCAGACAAAGCACTGTAATATATTGAAAATTGTATAATCTTCAGAAATTCTTCCTCAGCTAGTTCCAAAAAATAAAAAGGAGCACTTTTCAAGAACTTAGAGTCCAAAATTTTCTTTAAAAAATCAACCAAAAAGAATATTATTTAGAGATCGTGTATTATGATTTTCAAGTATAATGTTTTATTTTATTTTTTAGAGTGTATGCAGAAGATGATGCCATTTAAAGAGTTTTTAAAGATTCATCTCATTATTGCTGGAGGATATGATGAGAGAGTGGCTGAAAATCAAGAACATTATCAGGAATTAAAAAATTATGTTGAATCCCTTGAATTAGAAAAAAATGTATCATTCCTAAAATCACCTAATGATGATAAAAAGAGGTTATTATTTCATTGCAGTACAGCTGTCTTGTACACTCCTTCCAATGAACATTTTGGTATTGTACCTCTGGAAGCCATGCTCCTAGGACGACCAGTTTTAGCATGCAACAGTGGGGGTCCTTTAGAAACTGTTGTGCATGAAAGTACAGGTTTTCTTTGCAACTCAACACCTGAATCATTTGCAGAAAAAATGATTTTACTTACAAGAGACCACAGCCTAGCTCGTGAACTGGGTGTATCTGCTACAGAACATGTTCGTAAAAAATTTTCTTTTCAAAATTTTGCTACAAAACTTAATTCAATTATTGAAAAAAACTAAAATTTGTATTATATTTTTTTAAATAATATTTTACTATAGCGTAACTGCTATCCCCCAGTTTCTTTCATCACACATTCCATCCTCCCAGTAGATCACTGAATATCCCAGCTCGCAGCTTTTAGCCTTTAAACTTAGGAAAGGGTTTCATATGAATAGATTAAATTTATTGAATTAATGAAACTTCAGTTCTTAAAATTTCATTCTCCCACCCCATAATTATTTTCAGCATAATTTTCTTTTTAAATTTGTTTTTATTTAAATTGTTTCAATGTATTGTAGACATTTATTGAACTTTATATGAAGATTCAATCATTGTTTAATCAGTTAATATTTGTATTTAATTTTGTTTTACATTAATGTATGGTATATTATTAAATTCGTCCACTCAATAGTATGTTAATTAATTTTATTTTCATCATATTTGAAGTTATTTTTATAATAAAAGCTTTACTGCCATACTTATGTGTGTGAAAGTATCAGGAAATTACAAAGTGAAATTAGCTAAAAATTATAAAATTTAGACTATTTAATAAAATATTGATATATTTTATGTCAGAATTATATTATAAACAGCTGAGTAACCTGAATCAGGCATTATAAAATGAATTTAAGTCAGTTCAAAGTTCTTTTAAGTGGCATTGCCAGGCAGCATAAAAACTCACAGTTTTTTAGATTTCAAGTTTCATAGCTATCCATTATATTCAAGTGTCTACAGATCTTCTCTGATTTCACCAGCAACCTTGAAAATCGATATTTAACAGCTGAACTGTAGTTTAAAATTGTGAACCTCTTATCAAGTTCAAATAGTTAAATAACCTAAAAATATTATTATCCGAACTGTACAGATTAAAACTCAGTCAGATTAACAGAGACCACAGCCGACTCAGTTAACTAGAGTTCTATGTATTTGATCAGTTCAGTTTCTCTAAGTATTTGAACAGTTCAGTTTCTCTGAGTGCAAAGTGCGATAGTTTCTATATTTTTCTGTTTTATTCCATAATATAGTCATTACTATGATGGGGGGAAAAAGGAAGAAACATTCAGTATGACATTTAACTGAAATTTTTACAAATATGTAGTTTAAATTACTGTCTTTTGATTTGACAGCAGTGGTATTGTTATCTTAAATCCATATTGCATTTACAGTTCATTTATACAGTCAAAAGTCGTTAATTCGGAATGATCTATAATCCGGACCTCAAAACTAAAAACTTTCTGCGCATGCGCCGCGTTGACACTCGCATAGGGGTTACGCGTGCGCGTAAGACCTTTACGACTGCGCATATGAGTGTGCGAAGTGCAGAATACGTTTCCGCGTGCGCGTTTTAGTATAATGGACGATAAGTAAATAATATCTATTTCAGTTAATGTTGATGCTTGCGTTGGTTCCTTAATTTTCGAATTGGATCCGGCTTATTATTTTTTGCCAGACTGTAGAGAAATTTTTATAAAAGTAGTTTAAACTTTCGATTATATCAATAGAATTCCGATATATTTGTTATATGTAAAGGATCTAAAGCGAATGTATGTTTCGAAATCCGAAATCTGTTTATCAATTTCACGCAGTTCGGCGGGGGGAATGCCTCGGCGCACAATGATTTGGAAGTTGATCTCTCATCACTATCCTTATCTTCAAGGCAGATGTTTTTATTTTATTTGGCTATAATTGCTAACTAAATGTAGTATTTCATCTTGATGCACTCCGTCTTTGATATGATTTAAAACAAGTTCGTCATTATAATTCGCTTCCGATAGTCAAGAAAGTAACAGAGGTTATTGAAAACGAAAAAATCGATTGACAAATTAGTCAGTATTCTAGACACACAGCAATTATAGGACTGAACAGCGGATTTGTAACTGAACAAAAATTATTCTGTTTAATAGAATAAGAAATATTATCACATGAAACGAAGCAAAAATAAACAACTTACATTGAAAGAAATGTTTAATAAAGTAAACAAATAAATATTAAGCTTTTTCTTTTTGCAAATTTTGATACCCTTTAGATCATAATGTTCTTTATTTCATATTACGGTTTCATATTTTATTTAGAATTCTGCATGCCATTTACGAGATTTAAACTGATGACTATAATCCGGAATCGCCGAAGTCCCGACGAGTCCGGATTAACGACTTTTGACTGTATTGTATATTTTAATGGAATTAATAACTTTATATGTAATATATTTTCACTTAGTTCATACATGGTTTCTTTCAGACTATTTAGGTATAATATTTAGTTTTTTACATGTTAGGTGAATTACTAGTGAGCTTTTTTCACTATCTTATGCATCATTAGTTGCGTTCATTGCAGTATATAGAGTGCAGTTTTTTTTTTTTTTTTTTTGGAATTTTGTTTTGATGCAGTAATGAATCTGAAAATTAAATCCATATGCTTGGTACAAAACGAAAAAATTTTATTCTGTCGTAACTGAGCTATTTTTCGTATTCTGAAATTATGTTGAAATTCACAATATCAAAATGAAAAACTGGTGATTTATTATAACTTCCAGTCCTTCCAGTATTTTTCTGTAACTGCTTAACTGCTCAGGTTATCTTCTTAACCCAAATAGTCATGCTAAATGTGTTTACTTGCTGATTAAAATCAAATTTAAAACTGAATGTAATAAATAGTACCATAATTATTTGCTAATTTTTGCCCTTAGCATTTTTAGCTTAATTTATAACCTGTTGATTCATCGCAATATCATTTAAATGGATAGCAGTGTACAATGTAGAAGAAAAAATAAATATTATTGAATTATTGTTATATTATTTTTCATTGATGTATAATATAACATTAGTACATTTATGTATATATTAATCTGCAAAGTTCTTTAACACATCCTAGACACTCATTCAGTACTTTTGTATATTATTTGGAACACATCCATCAATTCAGAAATAGTATGTACCATGTAGTTTTCCACTCTCAGTTTTGATATATCAAAATCAGTTAATGAACGGGAAACTTATGTTAGAAAATATTCAAATAAAATAAAAAATATAAGCAAGAAGGTAGAATTTCATGACATATCAACTCAGAATTTTAGCTAAAAATTGGAATTTCTGGGAATTTAAAAAAAACTTAATTATATTGAAATTGTGGTAATCAGTAATATTTATTAATATATTACTGATGTGATACTTTGATTAATGTAAGGTGACCAGATTTTCCGGATGCCAAAGAGGGACGTAGGGGATCCAAATTCGGGTGATGGGAGAGGGTGGAAGCCCCCCTCCCCCGAAGGTGAAAATACGGAGTGCAAAATTTTTATTGAAGTCATATTGTCCTGTAAAGAATTACCTGTGTGTTAAACAGACTCTGTTATTGAGAGAAAAATTAGAATTTATCCATATCTCAGATTGAATCAAACAATTTAATCAACAATCACGGACTTTGGTATCTGGACTCAGATGCGCTTCCAGTAAGAATAAGAGTGAAGGCAAAGCATAAAAAAAATAGCAGTCGGGAAAATAAAAGTTTGTAGCTCCCTACCTACCGTACTGCTTAAATGTGTCCATCCAGCACATGACGCCACTAATGTTTTAATTCGACGCGGACAATGGGAATTCCTGATCAGCCGCCAACCTAGAAGGATCATCCTGTGTAGGTGCTCCGTACACTTATTTTATTGACGAATGAATGTTTCTAAGAAGTTTTGGTTCTTGTAGCTCTCATAAACATTCACAGGAATTGTCAAACTCAAAATTTCACTTCACCATTAACATTGCTTGTTTCCAGTTTTAATTGTGTCTTTTCAGTTGTCCATATGGTATTCATACAGGAGAAAACCCTTTTACTGGCGGTGTTTGTGCCTGGGAAATACTACAAAAACGCCACAATTTTATGGATTTGCGCACATGGCTTGTTTTTATCTTTGAAATGACAAAAAATTACAGTCCATCGACACTAGTTTTCTGACAATTCCAATCTGCAGTCTTTTGTGGTGAAGTAAATTGCCTAATATAGCTTGCTTCGTCAAATAACTCTTTATCATCGTAGTCAACCTTCGGAATCTTCCACCCAAAAAGTTGCACACTCTCTCGTACTTTTTCCCACAACGGTAGCTCCTTTAACGCAACCCAACTAAATGCATTTAGGCTCTCTTTCAGATATTCAGCACAGTTGTAAAAATTTACAATGGTTCTTATAACGTCATTTTTTCTCACCAATCCTTCCTCTTCTAATTGGGTAATCCGCATACGTACTTCATTGGGCAAAAAGTTTTTTCTGCTCCTCTCAGTGCATTTATGTAATAAATCATCCAGTTCAGAAGATACTTCCAATGCTGTTAGAGTCTGTGCAGAATTGCCGCTTGAAACACCGCAGCGATATAATGTACGAAATAGAGCCACAATTTCAGCACGGGGATTCTCAAAAAAGTTGTGGGTGGCGCTTCCCTTCCGACAAGAAAAGTGCATCAAACAATTTTAAAACTCTCTCTACTGCAGGCATTAGTGATAACCATCTAGTTTTCCCATATCCTAAAATGCGCTGGTACTCTACAAAGTAGGCAAAGTCGCAATATTCTTTGAATGACTCAAAAAAACAGTGTAGATATAGAAATAATAATAAATTTTCATAACAGCTGCTTCAACATAAATTTGCAAGCAATCCCCTGTTGTTTGGATTGCGTTGTGAGCGGTATGAGCAGCACAACCAATACCTAGCAGTTTCCTCCCAATGGCATCTTGTAATATTGTAAAAACGTTGTCTCTACCTCGTCTTTTTAATCCCCCCAAAATTCGTGTTAACGTTGTCTGCGCAGAAGCCAACATCTTTTGTTTGTCAGACCATGGCGTTGTAATGCATTTACAAGAAAATTTGCAAATCGTCTGTGCTGTTTCTCCAGAAAGAGATTGCATGTCCAGACAGGAAATAGCTTGACATCCTTATGGTTCGACGCGTCTGTAGACATTGTCACAAAATTCGAGAAATTTAATTCTTCTTTGACTTGGTTCATTACATATGGACACAGAACATTCGTGGCAATAGCTTCACATTGTGTTCGTGCGCAAGTGAAATTTGGATTAAAACACTTTTTCATTAATTTGGTAGTACAGTCCATCGACCTGTAGCTGTGATTGTGATAAATCGTGTGATACGCAAAGGTGCCTCCTGTAGCAGCCAACCAAGCTTCCTTTTCCCCTGACTCAGATCTTAGAAAAATAATTCGTAATTGTACTTCACGATGCTGAAAATTTCAGGACGTTTTTGGGACAATCCGTATTCAAATGCTTCATATCTCCACGCCCGCTATAATCGACGGAGAAATGTTAACCACATTTGTCGCACCTCACGTCACTATCGGTGTTGCTTCTAGCCTTCTTTATAAATGAAAACTTGCATTGTAATGCCTCTTTGAATTTCGACTTTAGTTTTAGCAGGACTGATGCTCAATGGAACCTCACTCACATAATAAAAAAATAAATAAATAACCACCGAAACACGACAATAGGGCGCACAAACCACCTTAGCCAAAGAACAACAAATACATATTCTTTGCCTTAGCCATCAACGCGTCGCCGTCTTTCTAATTCCCGCGTTTCTGAGTGATGACATCATAGCTTTATCGAAGCAAGCATCAGCAAGGCGTCACCACGCGCTTAATTCGAGTTAATTGACGTTAAGAGTCTATTTTGCAGAAAAGCGGGATAAACAGGCATCCCATTGGGACAAGCGATGGACCTTGGGACATGAAGTCTGAAATCCGGACTGTCCCGCCTAAATCGGGACGTTTGGTCACCTTAATTAATGTAATAATTAATCATTGAAAAGAAAAATACAGTAGGTGCTGCTTAATGTGATCAATGTTTATGCATGGCTATATTGATAACATTAAGCAGTGAGAAAAACATCCTTCAAAATATCAATGGAATGTAACTAATTTAATACAAATATTACTAGAAAAATATAAATACAGTACAAAGTCCGAAATCCGGACCTCAAAAACACCAACGTTTACTCGTAGGCTTTAAGGCCCGTCTACACATAGCAATTTTCTCGGCCAACATAGCTGGCCAACAATATCTGAGATAGCTCGCCTGTCCACACGGAAGGATTTTCTCGTTAGTACAGGAATTCACTCAGCCAGTCACT